CCCTCCCTAATCCTCCTTCCAGGAATTAACTCTGGTGCGGGTGGTAATTTAGTAGTTTGGAAATCATTGTCTCATCGAAGGACGAGTAAAATTTTTTTCATTTCTCCGTCACAATCTTGCTACGAAACGCTAACGCTTCCTTCTGTTTGCCGGAGTTTTCGCGCAGAAAGTTTGTCGGCTAGTGCAAATTTCACAGCATCGTCGATATCTTTAAAGAGTCGAACTCGAAGTGCCATATTCATCTCTCTGTCCTTCCTTAGGTTCTTCAAAAGTATGTTCCTCTCGTTGTACATTACTGAGAGTATAGTTCAACGTCCCTTCCACACTATGTTACTGGAAAAGGGAGGTCAAACCATTGTGCTGCATTTGCTTGTTTGCTTTACCGTTCAGCCTAACCGTTTGTTGTTTAGCAATGAGAACAACGAATGTATCCTCCCCTCCGTTCCTTCGGATTGTCCGGTTTTGTCCGCTTTCTTCCTTCACCAATAAGCGAATGGCTTCAGTTTTTTTCGGCCCAATATTCGCTTCTGTTCCTCCTGCTCACGAAATGGCTATTTTACCTGCGGTAGCTGGACTGCAACATCAAAAATTGACTGCACATTTGGGCAGTAAGGCTGATTGATTCTGGCATTTTCCTACTTCTGCGTCTAGGCATTATTGTTATATTTTGAATATGTTTATTTATTTTCTGCATATGTTTGTTTGCTTGCTTTTTGTTTATTTATTTATCTGTTTGTTCATCCGTTTATTTATTTATTTGTTTGTTCGTCAGTTTATTTATCCGTTTATTTACCTATTTATTTATGTTTACCTGTTTACTTTTCCATCTGTTTGTCTGCTTGTTCATCTGCCTATTTATCTATCAGTTTATTTATTTACTTGTTTGTTTTTCTGTAATCTTACTAATTGGAATGATACATATTAAATATATCATATAGTTAGCAGTGTTATAACTGTTAAAATTAAATTGCATACCACAAAGTATAACCTTCTCGTCATCGTTGTAGCAGCTGACAACCTCTTCGTAATCCGAAATTTCAAATTATCATATGTCATATGATTGCCTAGAATTAGCAGCATTTGTGTATTTGTGTTTGCATGTGCTTGAAATTTGTTTGTGTGCCTATGGTGTATTCGTTTCTGTGATTATGTTTGTGGGTTATGTTTGTGCGCGTTTGTGTGATATGTTTGTTTGTCTGTATTTGTTTCTAAACATGCGAGTGCGCGTTTGAGTGTGTATTTTTGTTTGCATGTTATGTTTATGTAATTCTTCATATACGTGTTTGTTTCTGCACATGTGTTTTTGTGTGTGTGTTTGTTTGTGTTTATGTGTGTGTATTTATGTGTATGTGTGTGTATACGTGTGTGCTTGTGTGCGTACATACGTGTGTGTATGCGTGTGTGTGTATGTATGTGTGTGTATGTATATGTATGTGGTATATATGTGTATGCGTAAATGTCGATGTGCTTGCAAATTGTTTCGTCTTTGGGTTTTTGCCGGATTAAATTAGAAGTAAATGAGGGCGCAGTTAAATTTGGCGAGAAAAAAAAGAAATAAGCGTTGAGCGGTGGGAGTGAGAAGGGCTGGCGGCTGCCGATCTGCTTGCTGATAAAGTTCCAAGAGCCGAGGGTTTGGTTATCTGAGAAGGGACAGCACCCCGTCCTGTCCTCAAGGCCACCCCTCTCCTCCGTTCATTTTGCACCAGCCGCGACCGTTTCGCCATTCCAAATGAGCCGTGCTATGTGTTGTCCTGCATTTCGGCCAGTCGTCCAGCCTTTTTTTTTTTTTTTTTTTGAAAAATACCGTTATTTCTTGGTGCCGGATTGTTGGGCTGCGTATTTTAATGGTTATATCGGAAGAGAAAATCCAAAAACTTTCTTCAGTGACCTGTAAATGTTGTGCAATTCAGAAGCGAGGAGGACGAGGAAGGAGGGATAGAAATGAATTGATCCGGAACACCGCTAAATTTGAAAGAAATACAAAAATTTCATTGCTGAAGTCCAAATATTGTGCCAGAGCAACAAAAATTACTGGAGCTTGCATTCCTAAATATTCCTTTCCACATCACCTTGTAACTTATCATACGGCTTCGTGCCGGTGAACTGAGCCTTTCTCTTTACTTCTAAACTTCGTTTTCTTAAATCATTCCCTTCTTGGGGTTAAAAATTTTTTCCCTCTGGCCAATCCTTATTTTTTATTTGGTTGCAGACCGTCCAGTTTTGAGGACTTTTTTTAAATTAAAATTCGGCTTTCCAATGACAAATTACAATTGCATTGTGTGTTTTTGGGAGGAAAACGAGACGAAGAGGAGGAAATGTTTCTGAATTTATTCCACGTGTTGAAATTCATTTCTGATAGTTATAACATCCTGAGAAATTTTTTGTAGCCTCGGTTGGTGTTCCCCAACTATTTCTGCAGATTACTTAAAAGTTAGCAAAACTTCCGGAAAGAAAAGGAGCATCGAACAGTTGCGTTTGTTCGATAACTCATCGGAACATTCACAGCCATCAAATACTTGTTTCGTAGCCTCGGTTGATGGTCCTGGATGCGCGATGTGGTGAAACCTTCCTTTTCCTGCTTAGTAACTCAAAATTTTGTGGATTTTAATTGTTTTTCGAGTGCTGGATTTCTAAGCGACGTTCGAATTCAAATTTACAAAAATTTCCGAATACATATTATTGACGCGTATTTCCCATACTGATCGTTGAGTGCCTATATATTACATGTATTGATCAAAATTTACTTGTACACCCGGACGTTATGTGGGGAAATGTAATCTAATTTGCTGTCTTACCACTTCTTAAACATTGAGTACGTAAGATGCCAGTTTAAACTTTGACGTGTACATACGTGAGACCCTGGGGTGCAAGAAGAATGAATTTAAAATCTTTGGACTGAACGCGACCACGGAAACATCTTCATGAAATTTTAGCCTTCTAGCTTGTGCCGTTCCCGAAATCGCTTCTCAACCGGGAAAATTTTCACGCGTCCGTACATGAAAACCACGCGGTTAGTTAGTGGCATTTGCGAGAAAGTAAACAGCCACTCGGGTGATCTCCGAACAGCTGGCGTACATCCGTCGAACAGACGTAGACCACGTAACTTGAAGGGATGTGAAGCCTGGCATAGCGATGTGCAAGCATCACAGTAATATCACTAACATGGGATACCCACACTGACTGTCCGAGTGGTCGAACATTTGGCAAAATTGGCGAAATTTGATTTCACATGTTTAACGTTTTTATAGCGTGAAAATTTGCATAATGCGCGATGTTTCCTGATTTTGTTCACCGAAAAAGAGTCAAATTTCTTTCAGGCGTTATTATTGTTATTTTGAAGAAAGCATTCAGACGGTTGTTGATTGATTGGTGCCAAACACCAAGCGGATATTTGCGGTCGCAATGAGTGAGGATGTGTTCGTTGTTGTTAAATATGATTATGATGCGCAAGAGGAGGGTGAACTTTCGATTCGAAAGAACGAACGACTCAAACTCATTGATGATACAAAGAATTGGTGGAAAGTAAGTGGTCATCGTCCTAGAAATGCCTTTACTAACTGACCAGTGGTCATCTTAGAAATTTCGTTACTGACTGACCAATGCTTTTAGAAACTATTCGCTTTGGTATTCTTTGGTATTTTGATCACAAAAATTACAATTTTATGTCACACTTTGTCCCTGTGTTGTATTATCACCTGGAATAAAGTAACTGAATTACCACTCGCACAAACTCAGTTTTTATTTGCTTTTGCTTTCTTCAACTTTTATTCACCAGTCGGGATTCCTTGATTTCGCTTTTTTTCGTTTTTCCACAAGTTCAGGTTTTCGTTAATTTGCTTTTTTGTGTGTTGGAAAACTCTGAGATCTACAGGTTATTTTCAGTTCATCTATCGCATCTGATGAATTTTGCTGGGGCTGTGTAGATTTCATTTGCCCGTAAATTTGATCTAAATTCAGAATCTTATTTTATCGTAAGGTTGTAGATGAAGATGCATTGAAGTCCAGAAATTGAGGGTCATTTTTCTCACTGTCATTAAACCATGTGAAACTTTTTTTTTTGATGAAATGGATGTTTGGTTTTGGGTCAGCGATCAGGAAACTAAGAACCTGGTGGTTGATTATTGGTTCCTACCTCTGCGCACAGTTTGTGCTAACTACTTATAATTTCAATCTATGTTTACAGCTAAGGGATGAAACACAGATTGCGTCGCAAAATGTCTTCTTACACGTGACATTAAGTCCAATCCTTCTACCATTCATGCTTTTGGCAGATCTGCAGCTGAAAAATCCGGAGACAGGAGGGGATGCGTCTTCCTGCGAAAGCATATAGCCCGCCTAGAAATATGAAAGCTGAGCGATATTAAATGTCCTGGTGGACTCAAAAATAATAAATCATATAAAATGGCACTTCCTTTTTTGGCGATTGCACAGAGATACTGGGATTGATGAAGTTTTTTTCGTCGAGTAGAAAAAGGGCAGTTGTGCCAGCCTCAGAATGTCTGGCCCATTTATTATCCAATGCTAGCCGACTCGAACACTATGCGTTTTTTTCTTTTTTCATAATCCCCCGCACAACAGCATATGGAGAGAGTGATTCTTCTTTGCTTATGTTATGTTTTTTGGGTATACTCTTGCAGCGCATATCAATCTCCAGGGAAAGGAAGACACACGACGTAGATTGAGCTTGCAGTTTCACATTTTTGCTTCAGTTTGCGGAAACTTTGGTTTTTTTATGCAGTCTGAGTAATTTTTGCAATGCAAAAACGCATATTGAAGTGAATCCTTGATTTTTAATCAGAACGAAGCAGATTGTAAAAATCAGGTTAACCTTGGAAGTCTAAATGGTGAAGACGCGATAGATTACAATACAAAAGAAGGAGATAAGAGTGAGATAAGACGTTTCGGTTCATTATGTCACATACGTCTTAACTCAGCATCGCGACAAGACCTCCTCAGTATGACAATCGAATTGCTTAATGGAAGCGGAAAAAAGGAAGACTGCAGGAAAAAACTGTTCGCTTTAACACCCCTAGACTGGTTTTTATATCCTGGCGCAGAATTTGATAAAGTTTTCCACCTGTTCAGCTCCATTTTCCTCATATATCTGTTGGCTTCATTTCTGTGGAAAAGGACTACTTGCTGTTTTACTTAATGACATTTTCTCATGCATATTCTGTCCTATACTATGCTGTTCGTTCATAGTTTACTGTTATTTCTTCATCGTTCATAGTTTACTGTTATTTAGTAGTTTTCCTTCGAACTTTCGCTGTGTTATTTTAGGTGGTAAATGAAGAAGGTATCGTTGGTTTTGTGCCATCGAATTATGTGCGCAAAGAATCTTTTGTCGAGAAAGCAAAAGGAACAATCAAA